AATGATCTAAAGGATACCGGAAGAAAACAAATAATATGATAATAATACCTTTCTCAACGTTTTCCTTCGGTTGAAAAAAATTATTCCCAAACAAAGTGGAGAGTCGCCAGATATAAACCTCGTTCTGTGATGACACAAATAATAAAAAAGTAAATAAATAACAAAAAAGGAAGAAGACGACGAGTATTTTGCACAAGGATGAATTTCAGAATCCAATAACTACTTTCTTTGAATGTTCACGACTTCAATTTGAAGCGAGTCAATAAGAGGACAGCAAAATTCATTTTGTAACGGGAAGGTCAGACTCTAAGTCCCTCTTACTTCAGAGAGAGAGATGAAAACAAAGAGTGATGAAACCAAATAAAATTTGAATCAGTGTGAATGGTCACGAATGAAGCTTGTTTGAATTAAATTGACAGGTAGCCCGGTTCCAGATCTCACAATGTTAAGCCGCGGCTGCACGAGCGATTATTAACTTGCAATGGTGATGCGATTTTCTCTAAATTTGTCGCGTCGCCAGCGCGCGGTGCAAACTACCCGTGTAGCCACCCTCGTGCAAGTGCTGGGACGGCGACAGCCATTATATCGCTGAAAAAAGTCGCGAGAAATTCGATGAGTTGAACTTTTCGTGACAAAATCACAAACTTTGTCACCCGTTTAGCCGCGACCGGCGACGTGACAATGTTAAGAAAAAATCGCATCACCATTGCAGGCAAAAAATCGCTCGTGTAGCCGCGGCTTTAAAACAGGGTCTTGGTTTGCGTTTGTTGCGACGAAGTTTTTCATCCTCTGGAAAAAAAGTACAAAGAACAAAAACCGAGATGAATTTGAATTCTTTGAGAGATGAATAACTGAACGCCTCTGAAGGTTTTATGTACCGTGAACAGAGCATCTGATTTTCCAGACGGCAAGATTTGCGAGACAAGATAAGAAGTCTATCGTCTTTTCAAATGAATAAAGGGGTAAGTTTCTAAAGAAACTGTGGTGCTGCGTCGGTGGGAGAGTATAGCAGGTAATTTAGTGTTAACAACCGGGTTGAAAACGCAAATTAGGCACCGTAAAGGGTGAAAAAGCTGACGTTTCGAGCGTTAGCCCTTCGGCTCGAAACGTCAGCTTTTTTAACCTTTACGGTGGCTAATTTACGTTTTCAACCCAGTTGTCAACACTAAATTACCTGCTATTGTCTTTTCACCCTCCTAATCTCAAACGACATTTTCCACCGACGATCTTTATTACGTTACGGCTTATTCTCGAATGCATGTCGGAACATATTACTGGGATGCACGTTACTCGCATTTATTCCCATCGATGTCGACACATTGGTTTCGACAATAAATAATTTTGAAAGGAAACCCAAAAAGAAACCATCTAATGACAACGCAAATGCTTACAAAGTATATAAACCGCGAGCGAATTAGTTTAATAACATAGCGCGCGTGCTTTCCCTATACAAGTCCTGTTGAGCCGCTATGAATAAAGTCTTTATTTACGCACAGCCGCGCGTAAATAAGATGATGTGAGCATTTTTTTTTTTGATGTGAGCATTTTTTTTTTTACCCGGCTTCAGTCTCCGTCCTGTTAAGTTGCAGTGTAGTTTTCCTTCTCTTTGAAATATGGAAGAAACCAGCGAAGAACTGCCCAATTTTTCTGTCGGCATTGACCTTTTAGGTCCTGATCCAACAAGCAAGACAAAGCCGAAAAAAACTCGCAAGTTGCACCTTTCGCAAATTTGTCGGAAGACCAGCTGCAGAAAATTTGGCTTCTTCGCGCAGATCCTTGCTGTCGCTCTGTTATAAAAGAATTTGCTCATGCTTTTAGCTGTGCGTATATCGAGTTATGGATCCACTTAGGAAGTTTGGAGAGCACTCAAAAAGCTAGAGTTGCTTTCGGCTGCGCCTCGAGCTACTCTTACGCATTTTTCTTGCCCTCTAAACTTCCCCGTGCATCCATAACTCGATATTCGCACGCTAAGCATGAACAAATTCTTAAATTTGATGGCATAAGCACTTAGCGCAAAAAACGCCGCAATATTCCTTGATATCGATCAATTCCTCTAATACAAGCAATAGATGGTTATTTTCTCACCTCCCTGATAAAAACGAGCCATTGACAAGTTTCAAGCGATCTCAGTTCGCGCTCGCCTCTCTAATTGCTTTGATACGTTCTCAAGATTATGAAGGTTGGTTATAAAAATAAACCCGCTCTTCAAGTATTTTTCAGACTTAAGGTCGATCTTATGTGTGGGTGGGTTTTTGTTTCTTTTTTTTCTGTTTCATTTGATGAAGATCACAAAAAAGCGATCGGCATTCTATTAAAAGCAATGGCTTTGTTTAAGTTATCCATGAATGAAAACAAGACACAAAATGATGCTAAGTAGAAAAACGTCCGGGTGTAATGAGGACTGATACTCGCTAAGTAATGTTGTCGAAATTTAAGGTTGAGTCCGTCAGCGGTGGGAGTTTTCTAACTCATTTTCAACACAATCGAGCACAGAGTTGCACACTAGCACAGACACAGCCATCTCTTACAGAGGTTTATGAGGCCGAAATAAGGCGTCTTCGGGAAGAGAACCGCAATTTGAGAATTTAGCACAACTCCATTGCAACTCGGCTGAATGAAGTCGTAGCTCAGCTTCAACTAGCAAATGCTGAAGGAATGCTGCTAAAGCAGAGAATTGCAGAGACTGAAAATGTTTTCTACAACACCGAAAAGGACTTCTGGCAATTAACACCGGCAGCCAGAAATAATAAGAAAAGACGAGTCAGGCAACATATGAAAACAAATTTTAAAGGGAAACCCCTGTCTTCTTCTTCAGATTAAGTTCACTGTACAAGGACGTGAAGTTGTAATTCCACTTGGACACGATGCTGGTGACGAGAGAGAAAACTCCACTTGTCGGACGACGCAGCATGTACTTGTTGCGAAAGATGAAGGCTTGATTTCAGACGAGGCATACCATGAGTTGAGGATGGCCTTACCAGACGAGGAAAGAGAGATTCTTCCGCCAATCAGTGTTCTGAAACAGGAGAGGAACAGGCAAAATGGGATCAATGCCTTGCATTCAATACCAGAGGTCAGTGAAAACAAATGTAACTTATTTTAACTACATGTACCTAACTACCAAAGCCAGGCATGACTATAGTGAATAAAATCTGACCAGTGTAGAAATCACAAAGATTCAATTAAAAATAAAAAATCATAGTTGTAATCTCAGACTTAAAGTTAGGTGTATATCACGAGAATGAAAAACAAAAAAAAAACAAAGACCTCTATGGCTATTCTAAAAAAAAATTAATACTTCATTCTAATTTACCACAGGCTAAAAAAGGCTTTATTTTGCATTACTTTACATATCACAGTGCAATGGCAAGCAATAACTAATACTGATAACAACGAACATAATAATAATAATAACAACAATGTATTATGTCAGGAAAAGACCTCCGAGCAATCCTACACAAACTGGATCATAAACCAATCTTTGAGGGGACAAGTCATCAAAGAAGGACATACAGAGAAGTGAAGAAATTATGGAAGGTAAACATTTTCTTGTGTTAATTTGGTCACTCGGATCATAGAGTTAAATTTTAGTCAATATCTAAGGGGCATGACTACAATAAATTATATTAAAATATACTCATCTACATACTCGCTCTCTTCGTTGATAAAATAGGGTTTCAGTGATCTGGTGGAAGCAGTGGACCCAGAACCAGGCCAAGAAAGCTACAAAACACCAGAACAGTTCAAGGACCATACAAGCAAATGGGCAAGATTCTTTTGAGAGGTACACCATGATGAGGTAACTGTGTTCTTTGCAAGTATTGCTTTTATTGAGATAAAATAAAAACGTAGAGTTCAAATTCTTGGCAATATAATTAAACATTGATCTTTTCCTGGCATGGACAATTGAACAAAACCCAGCCAAAAATCAATCGAACTCAGTGGAATCCAATTGTTAGACTGCTGTTCAATCAAACATAATTGAACTGGAAATTTTCAGTGAGTTCAATAATTTTATTATTGAACTCAATCACGCCAATCAAACTAAATCAATGTGATTAATCCAGGTCTTTTCCTTGGCCATGCTTTGAAAAAGTGAAGTCCTTAAATTAATCTGTGATATAATAACACTGAAACCACTAAATTGAAAACAAGGTACTTACCATTATATATTTTTCTCCAAATTTTTCCATTTAGGATGTGACTCCCTACATACATGGTAAGATCCATTTCATTTGTGGTGATAATTTCAATGATTTCCAATCCTAACAATAATTATAAAAGAACTTATTAAACCCTGATGAAAAATCTATTTTGTTTTGCTCCAGCTCTAGTCTATCATGTCCCTCAGTTCCTTGAAAAATCAACAAAATCAAAACAAAAAACATGATGTTCAAGTCTATTTTTCACCAAAGTCAATTTTTCCAGAGGTTTTCCAGTTCAGCATAAAAAGATATTGTTTGGCCTTAAGTTGTCCCAGTTGTTCCAATAACGTTTTTTCGGTTGTTGAGCGTAATGTTAGAAACATAAATGTTCAATTACTATCAGTTTAATTTTTTTAACAGTATATATTGAATTCAAAAAGTTATTAAGCAATGATGATCAAACAATATAAAACATTTGCATTCTGTAATGAAAAAAAAAAAGGAAATCTGTCATTTGACATATCCAAATTGTGCGTTTTAACATGAGTTCACAGAGAAAAATGTTAGAGTGGACCACAGGATTTGCAATTTCTTAACAGCAGGAGGTGTTTTAAATTATTTTTTTGGTCACTGATTTATCTTCATTTACAATCTGGTTGTCTGTGAGTCAGAATCAACTGTACGTGACCAGGAACCCTTTTCTAGAAAAAAGAGTACTAATGCTGGTAATTTGAAACAAGTTATGTGAATGTTCCTTTGTAATCTCTTTCCAACTTCAATCATTAATATTTAGGTAATAATACACTTCTATCCAAGTTGATGAACTACCTTTAACACTTATGAAAATGAATCATAAGATCATGACTCCTTAGTTCCTTGGTCATTGATATTTTTAAATGATATGGATGAAAAGAGAGAAAAAAATAGGTCTCTTTAAATTTGGCTTTAACTTCAAAACAAATGCTTCGTTAAGTTACAAGTTTGATGACTGACATAAACTACAATATAGAGTTTACCTCTGATATCCATTCGGAAGGAAGAGTTTGCTTTGCCATAATCATATTTAGCAGTACATTCATAATTGCCCTTATCTTTAAATGTCACTTGTCTAATAACCAGGCTGTTGTTTTTACTAAGTAGCACTCCATCCTTGGTCCAGCTGACTGATACTTGTGGATCACCTCTCAAATAACACTTTTTTGTAAATGTGGAGTTAAATTGTGTGTTCCTTTGGGAGGATGTGGATTAGGATTTGTGGTCCAAGATCACACAGATCACAGTGCATCAAAGGAATGGAGCTTTAGGGTGCAATGGTGAGATTTCTAAACTCATTACTAAAACGGGGTGGAACTGCAAAGTAAGCATATAAACTCAAATTACAAAATTAGAAAAGCCACCCAGCCAAACCCCCCTCCTCCCCACTGCGAAAAGTAAAAATAAATAAATAAAAAGAATTAATAACATTATTTATAGTTAAGTTATAGGAGCAATTAATAACCTTATCATCCTTCCAGCGAAGGATCTGGGAACACTCTGTATATAACACATTCACAATCACATTCACTGATGTTACAAATAGTAACAGGACACTCCCCATCCATGGCACAGCATCTTTAAAACAAGAGCCCCTGGTTGAAAAGATTCCCTGAGAGTAAGGCAAAGTTTACATCAGCGGAACAGGAAAACCTATGCAAGTAAGGTTAAACGAGTTATATAGCATATAGAGAAATGACATGCTAAGACAAAGGCCTCTGCAGTTTCAGAAGACACCTGGAAACCACTTGCTCTGGACTAAAGTAGAGTACATTGATTGTGATCCTATTATTATACATGCAGGGTATAAGAGGCCATCCACATAAGACTTTGCCTGTTACAACATAAATTGGACATTGAGGTAGACATCCCAGAAACATGGATGCTGACCACAAGAAACACAAAAACATAATAACTCTGCGACAGTGTACTCCAAAGGAACATTTGGTCAGAGTGTGCCAATCAAAGCCTGTGTGGGATTCCAGCCAATCACAGCCAAACAGAGAGTTTCATAAGGTCAAGCATATCTACTGACCTTATAGTGCAAAGAAGAAACAATATGCAGTCAAAAAGTCACGATCCACATCCAAAGTAAATTAATGGTGAGACAAATGATTATACTGCATTCAGAAAGTGAATTCATCACCATGACCAACCAAAGTCATTTTAAGCACATTACCAGTTTGAAAAGAAACTATAAGCTTCATCAAAGGGCACTTACTTTGAGTTATGACGAGGAAACTACATTGTTGACAAATAACTTATTGAGAATAATTTTTTTCACATGACACCCCACTTCAAACAACTACAATCCACAAACATATTCATTGTGTGAATTGTAACTTACCAATAGCAATAGCAAATCCACAGCCAGAATGAACATCTGGTAGTCCAACTGATCTCTGAGGTCCAAGCAAAAAAATACGAATTCTTTGTTATTGTTATTTCAACAAAAGGGAAGTGATCAAAAATTTCTCTGGCTGGGGGTTTATTATTATTCATAAAGTCTGATTGATGAGATGACAAATTCTTTCAGAGATGACAAATTCATCTAGAGATGGATGATATTGTCTCTGAAAGTACTTTTTTCAAGACTTCATTAGCTTGGAAAAAATATGTGCATTTTCCCTGAGAAGGATATTAGTATTCTATGCATACTATTTCAGAATTTCCTAAATTTATTAAGTAGGAAATAAAACTTTTACCACAGAGAAAGTTCAATACACCCACATTCTAAAATAATGGGATACCTGGATCTAACTGGATAACTGGATGCTCTATTTGGCACCACTTTAAGTGAAATCTTTGTGTAAAAATACGATGAAAACACAAACTGTATAGCAAGAAACTCTTTGGTTTGTTTGGCTTCAGATCAGGAGTCACTTAGGGCTTTATTCCAAATAATGTTTGGAATATTAGGCCCTAGCTGACTCCTGATCTACAGCCAAATTCTCCCTTCATTACATGAGCATATACAAAACAAACTGGAAGGAGAATCTAGCAGTTGATCAGAAGTCACTCACGGCTTTATTCCACTCACCCCTTCAAATTAAACAATGCAAAGCATAAAAACCACTAACAAAAAGTTTAGCTGTCATACGCCATCAGAACAGCTTTACTGAAATGAATAGTTGGGTGATCACTAAGGAAGTACAACAAACTCACCATGATTTGTTTGAATAAGGCTCTGCTCACTGATTCTTCTGGGTTGACACAATACCCAATATTCAAATCATGACAACTGAGAAGAGGCTTGTCACCACCGAATAATGAGAACAAACCATGTCTGGAAGTTGCTACCATGACACTCCAGTTCTAGAATTAAACAATGATTGTTATAGTTGGTGGGTGTAATTAATTAAAGTATGGCCACTTAAAGTGCCTGTCACCCTTAAATACAATCATATTTTCAGAATCTACTCTACACACATTGAACAGTGAAATGGTGAAATATTTGTTTTGAATGTCGTGTTATTGAGTTATATAGATTTGAATTTACAAAATGCTAATTAATGACATCAACCTGGGAATCATTTAATATACAACTACTTGTTTTCAACTCCGAGTAATATTTTTAAAGAATCAATTGACTATTCTCAGTTTATTTTTTGTATTCATCAAATTAATTATACTCAGGCTGTAAACTGCACATTTAAATTGGTATAGAAGTAATGGCAAATTCCCGGGTTGATGTCATCTAATTAGCACTTTGTAAATTCAAATCTCTATAACTCAATAACATGACGTTTAAAACAAGAAATATTTCACCATTTAACTATTCAATGCGCGTAGAGTTGATTCTGAAAATATCTATTTGAGAGTGATAGACACTTTAATAGAGGTTTGACTGCATACAGTTCAAACTCAGTTAACTATTCAAATTAAGGGTCATTCCACAGTATTTTGTCTGTTGCAGAGATGACATTTGGAGATATGTTTTATGCCATAAGGTGAAATTTAAATTTCAGGTCTTCAATTTATCTCTTATAGTGTGGTTACTTATAGAAGGTATACACACAGGTATTTTACATTACTCAGAATTGTACCTGATCCTTGCGGAGATGACATCAGAGAAACCACAATATTTGATGCAACAAATATAATTCAAAATTCCTCTGAATGTGAAATGCTTTTAAAATCTCTATATTTATGTTCTTTTAGACCAACATATCTATAATGCATACAAGGTCATGCAGTGTAGAAGCATTTGGTAATTTCTTGTGACAACTAAGTGCACACATGTTGTGGAGACGACAAAAAAATTCTACCCAATGCTAACAATGGAAATATTTTACAAAGTTCAGGTCTTACAACAAAACATACTTTATATGATATTAAGGATGCACATTTCCTGCCACACTGAACCTCCATTGGTTATTCTCAGAGTAAACTAGTCCCAATCCCCCAAATTTTGGCCAAGCAATTGATTTACTTGAACTAGATCATAGAAACCACAAAAAAACTGTGGTGTGTTAAACAAAGTCATATAATTGTCATTTTTTGTTTATAGTTTTTCTTTAAAAAAAATCTTTTCTGCCATAACATCCAAAACTGATTTTATTAAAGAATAATATCTACCACAAATTAGCAACTGAAACTTTGTATTCAAGATGTTGAAATTTTCAGGTGTATAATGAATATGTAATAGCATCTCAGCTAGTTTATTATGTTGAGCTCATGTTCAGATCACTGTTCTGTTTCTATTTTTGCATTGAAAAAAATATTAAGATGTTTGGGGCATTAATGCTACGACAAGTTTTGTCTCTGCAATGGAAATAATGTCCAAAAATTCATTGTGTAGTTCCATAAATTATCCATACCTCCCCCACAGAAGGGATTTATCCTAAGACCCCCCCCCCCAACCTCCTAGAAATTCCAACAACATGTAAGCTTCATACATTTCTACATACATACATGACCTTTGAGAATCCCCCCCCCCTCCACCCCCTGGAATTTCCTATCCCTTCTGTGGGGGGAGTATGGGCATTTTCTGGAACCACACATTTTCTGATGGACTCAGAAACTTTTCCCTATACAACAACATAGCTTTTTTCATAAATCAGAAGTTCTAAGAATACTTTCAATTTTTACTCAGAAATAACAGAAACTTTGGAGTATCAACCGTTGCAGAGACAACATTTGGGGAATGGAAGTTGCATACTGTACAGCCTTACCCACTGAGCCATCTTCCAATAACTGTTCTGTAGAGGGCACTTGTACACCTTTGTGTTCTGGCAACTTTTGTATGATTTTAGTTTTTTATTACTTCTTCAACAAGAAATGTATTTGTCAACAGGCATTTTGATATTTTCTATAAATAATTTATGCAACCATTTCACATTCCATTCCCAAAATTTGAGATCTATCACAAACTTCATTTATCAAGCAACAATGCTACAAGCATCTTAAGTCTGCCATGAAAGATTAAAAAACCTGCTAGTTGGGGACAAAATACTGTGGAATGACCTGAAATTTGGTGTTTCCCAGGGTTAAAAATTAACTCCAGAACTTGGTGACCAGTCGGGCCAGTTTCCTTGAATTCTTAGTGGCCCATCCCAAAATGAAGTAGCCCTCGATTTCCTCTAGTTTAAAATGAAAAACTTGAATAAGCGCCCCATGGCTTTTAACAGAGTGTTAACTAAAAGGAAAGAACACAAAAAGGCAATGCCCCCGGTAATGCCATGAGACATTTTTCTTTAACATTTTGGCCATTCATTTGGCACTATTAAATTATTACTGGTGTTAAGTGTTTTTATTTATTTAAGTAAATAGAGTAAATTGCAATAAAGTAACTTCAAGAATTTATTTGCACTTGTTGTAAAAATCATTGTAGAAACAGCTGGGTTTCTTTTCAAAGACATTTTTGCATGCAGTAACTGTGGTTACAGGTATTTCTGGATAAGCCTATCAACAAATTCTTCCCCAAAGCAGAAACGTGTATTTCAAAACCATCCCACATGGAACTCTGAGTATGTCCAGAGTCACGTGGCAGTCACAAAATCAAAATGGTGTCTACATGTTGTGAATGTGGATTGCTCATGAAATCACTGTTAAAACGGCTCGGAACTCCCACTTTAGAACTAAAAATTCATTAAAATGGATGATTTTAGAGTCCAGGCAAAGAAATGAAGAGAAGGTAGTCCAATTAAACTACATATTGAGTTTTATTTTTAACTTTGTACTGCAATTAATTTACATTGCAATGTTATGAAATTCTGTAGCATAGTCGCACACTGGGCATTCAACCCTAAACTTTTGGTAGCCCAGGGTGTGAAATTAATTTTTTTTTCTGATAGCCACCTGGCCCCTAAATTCTTCAAAGTGGTAGCCAATTCAAAAAAAGTTGGTCGCCATTTTCAAAGACAAACAAAATCTTTCTTTACGGTGTCAACGTTCTAGATAGACCCTCCAAAATTAAGTTAGGGAAAAGATCTTTAGAGTGCTACAAAGTGGACACTAGGATGGATGATATACAACGTTCAGGCTCATCTAAATCCAAGATGGCGTCTAGTTATCGCTCGAGATGCATGTGCTACGTTTTGGAAACAAACTTAACGAGGAAGTTTGCTGCGGATTTATCTTTGCAAATCTTTTTAATTCACTATATCTCTTGGTAAGGTTATGATGAAATGTTCTGGTCGCCAATTTGGCAACTAACTTTCAGGATTTGGTCGCCAAAGTGAAAAATTTAGGTGCATTGGCGCCTGTATTAGGCGCAATTTCACGCCCTGTAGCCCTGGTCAGTTTTAACTCGCCACTGGCAACTGTGCGACTGCCAACTTTAAGCCCTGGTTTCCCATTGGGGAGATTGTCAGATGAAAGAAAGTAAATTAAACATATATTTTAAGGGCATGCAATTGGCTGGGGCAGACATGTATGCAACTTAACACTTGATTGGCACCACCGTCTCTTTGCATGAAAAAGGTATACGAAAGGGATGTTCAATGGTTGAATTATGTAAATATGGTTCTTATTAATATTTACATCGCTAGGTGACGAATAACCTATATTTGAACAGCCTGGAATAACAGTAGAACATATGTTGTACTCACAAAATATGCTGTTCTCCAATCCGCCTCCCCAATTGTTGCCTTAACTGCCATATGAAGTTGTGAAAAGAGAGCGCTCTTGCCAACTCCCTTGGAACCCTATAGATATATAGATAGATAGATAGGTAGATACATAGACACAAGAGAATCTTGCACCTTGCAAAATAATTATTACTAGTAATAATAAAGTAAAGGTGCATCCAAAAAATTGCATTACTGTGGCACATTAATACTTAATTTTGGCAAATACTGTGAGATACCTTCAAGGTTAGGCACTTGCTCAAAACAATTACCATTGGCAGATTATTTAACTCAAGCTAATAAAGACCAGTTACTACCAGGCTTTTGTTACTTTCTTTGTTGTCTTTTTAATGTATGCAAATTAGGACCTGCTTGACAAACAATAGAATCTGTGTATAATACGCACCGCAATTTTGATGGTTATTTTTAAAGAAAAAAGTGCGTATTATACACGGGTAAATACAGTACAGTTGAACCCTGCTATCTTGAACTCAAACCCATTTCCCTTGGATTTGCCCTGCTTTTCTCAGTCATTTACTATTAGCTATCTTGAACTCAGCTCTCTCAAACTCCCTATCTCAAACAAAGAGCAGCATCCCTTGTTCCTGTTTCACAGACAAATTTACCCCACTATCTTGAAATCCCAGCTGTATGAATAAATTTTTGCTTTCCTCAAGAGTTCAAGACTAGCTGGGTTCTGCACTGTACAGTTGCTAGTTTTTGTGTAAACACAGAAAACAAACATTTCCCACTATTTTATACAGTAGAATTGTTTTAGTTAACTATAATGTCTTTTGCACATATTTTTTTAATTATAAGGTAATTTTTATCTTCCTGAAATTTGCACTGTGATCAAGAAACTCCTCTGTTTGTCCGTTTTCTACTGCCAATGTAGACAACAGATACTGATAGCAACAGCCATTTCATGCAACACTACACCATTTGTGTGTATGCTATACCATTTGACATTACGCTGAGCCATTTCATGCAACGCCACACCATTTGTGTGTACGCTGTACCATTCGACATTACACTGAGCCATCTCATGCAATGCTACACTGTTTATATGTACACTGTACCATTCAAAATTACACTGAGCCATTTCATGCAACGCTACACCAAATTATTCTCAATTGAGCTAGTCCATTTCACAAGTTCAAGTTCCAACTCGACATGGGCAACTAGACTGTTTATCATTTGGCTAAACTATTCATGTTCAGGGTGTTCTGTTTCATGAAGGAAACCTAAACTGTCTATGATTTGGCTTTGCCATTCCTTTACTAGCTATACTGTCCTACAGCTGATCCTTAAACCAGCTTTGTTTTTGCTGATCTATTTGACATCCTGGTATTTTTGGTGGTGACGGCCGCCCATAACAATGACTAAGCCACAATCCCAGATACCATACTAGGTTGAACTCATGGCTTAAATTAATTCAAATCATGTTAATGTTCAAAGAGGGATTTTCCATAGTTCAAGGTAGGTTACTTTTAAACTATGTCAAAGTAAAAGGGGGCTTCTTCATTTCTGTTATGTACTATTTGTATCTTCATTCATTTGTGAGGTGCAAACAAACAAACCAACAGGCAGGCTTTCTTGATTTATCTTTACTGTGCAGCAGCACACGAACTCAGTTAATGAAATTAAAGGAAATAATATGTGCTAAGTGCTTTCAACAATGCACCAGACAGCAGATAGGACCAGATAATACTTTTTTTAAGTAAATCACGACATGTGAGATTTTTCTTCTTGGCTGCGGAGAGATGAAATTCTAAAATAGCCAGCAAATTCACTTGATCAAATCTAGTAGCGCTGACATAAAATAATAGAACAAGAATGATGAAACAATACCTAATCAGAATTCAAACGCCCTAAAGACCCCTAAAGCTGACTACTTTGTTCTAACTACAGGGCGTGAAATTAATTTTTTTTTCTGATAGCCACTAGGCTCCTAAATTCTTCAAAGTGGTTGCCAATTCAAAAAAAGTTGGTCGCCATTTTCAAAGACAAACAAAACCTTTTTCACGCTGTCAATGTTCTAGATAGACCCTCCAAAATTAAATTAGGGAAAAGATCTTTAATGTGCTACAAAGTGAACACTAGGATGGATGATATACAACATTCAAGCTCACCTAAATCCAAGCTGGCATCAAGTCATCGATTGAGATGCATGTGCTGTGTTTTGGAAACAAACTTAACAAGGAAGTTTGCCATGGATTTATCTTTGCAAATCTTTTTAATTCACTACATCTCTCGGTAAGGTTATGATGAAACATGCTAGTTGCCAATTTGGCAATTAATTTTCAGGATTTGGTCGCCAAAGTGAAAAATTTAGTCACATTGGTGCCTGTATTAGGTGCAATTTCATGCCCTGAACTAAATATGCAAATCATTATGATTATCACTTTCATTTTTCATTAATGGTGGAAAACGATTCTTACTTGTCAGATTTCACTGTTAAAACAGCTTTCTTTCCCTGTTGAAACAGGGTTTTCAGTCATGCCAACAATTTGACATCACTTTGATACCTGAGTTGCAAGGGTGCTGTGAAAAATAGGGTTGACAGGGTTGCAGCACCATATTTAGAGGTATTGGAAACAAGTTTGTATGGTGTTTCAACGGTGTTCTGATGGTGGAAAGTGATTCCTTCTACTCAGATTTCACCTTTAAACAGCTTTCTTTTCCTGTTGAAACAGGGTTTACCGTCGAAAAATAGGTATCAAAGTGACAGTAAAAGCATTGTAGTCCATAAGCAAAGAAGAAGTGAAGGAATGTTACTTCTAGAATGGCTAGAATTAAACTGAGTCATTGTGTTGTGATCTGCATGAGCGGCCTAGGAACTCCATTGATGAGGTAAATAAGAGCACATAAAGTTTAAATAATGTACGTAGCCTTTTAATTCTATTTGCCTTTTTTGGCTTTCAGTTTTCCTGTTTTTTGAGGGAAATAAACAGGAACTTAAGAAAACTCCTAGAAAAACAGTTCTAAGGGCTTTTGCTTAAAGCGGAAAAACTGATTTGCATGTGTTCTCAAGATCGTGAATGAGATAACTGGATCTAACTGGATAACTGGATGCTCTATTTGGCATCACTTTAAGTGAAATCTTTGTGTAAAAATACTATGGAAACACAAACTGTATAACAAGAAACTCTTTTGTCATCTCCACTTTATACTTTCTCTGCTTCCCAAAAGTACAGGGTCAGTTTGTTAAAAGCTGAGTTTAGATAACTAATGGTCAGTGTGAAATCTGATTTCATATCTGAAACCTTTCAAATGAAATTCAGTCTACATGTACAATTCCTTTAGTCTGCAATTTGATGATTGGATGCCCAAAAAAAACTATGGTAAATTATTTTAAAAGGCTTTTAAACAAAGGATTAAACATACCCTGATTAAAATGTAACCCTGGGTTAGCACTTATCAGCCTTCGAACAACTGGGCCCAGGACTGAACAAGTTTCAATTCAACTAAGTTGTAATTTCAACAAGAAAAAGTTATGATCATTTTTACACCAACAATTCCAGGCAAAGCTGCAACATTTGCAATCTGCCTTACACCAGGAAGGAAACCACCAATACCTGGAGAGCAATTTAATTTAATTGTATAAAAGGAATAAGACAAATGCAGCAAATACAACAGTATTATATTCCAAATGTTTAAAGTACTGTACCTTGAGTTCCAGCCCAGTGCTTCAGCTCATCAGACATTAGTTTTTTGAGCAGCTTGTTTATATATCTAAAATACCTTCAACCTTTAAAGAAAAAAAAAAGAAAAGAATAGTTTGAACTTTAGAGTTGAATAGTTGCAATGTACACCTCAAGTCTTGTATCTGAAACAGTATGTAAAAATTTGTCCATGGTACTAATTAATCAGAACATCCTAATCCAGTACTTATTAGGACATTCTTGCGTCAACAATTTCCAGCAAAACACCACAGTCTGTAACTAGGGGAAAAGGAGAGAAATTAGGGGGGATGGCAACAAAATGGATATAATCTGGGTTTGATGGAGGAAGTGAGGACAAAATTTATTTGTCCAGTTCAGTCAACCCTGTATTAAGCAGTCACCCACGGGAATATGGCGTCTAATACAGTGCGAGTGCTTAATACGGTGCCACCTAAGACAGGTTTGACTGTAGTTCGTGAATTCACTGATTGAAACAAACAAATAAAAAAAAAGAAAACAGTTCTGATATGAGAGACGTGGAGGGGGGCAGGGGGCGGGGATTTGATCGTAACGTGGGCAGAAAAGGTGGAGGGGAGGGGGAGAGCAAAATCTAGTTGTCCCAGAAACAATTTTCCTTGTGACAAAACTTATTTCAAAGAAGGAAATTACTTTGACGGATATGGCGGGTGTAAGGGGATTTATTTCGATAATTATAGCTTATTATCAACATTCTCACGTATTAAATCGTTAGACGTGTATTTTGACGCGCACGCTACTCAGCTGGAGTTGAGCTTCCGATCTGATGTTTGGCGCGCGTTCACTTACCTTCATGTTTGGGACAAAGCCTTTCTTGATAAGAAACGAAATTTCGTTGAAGCACTCAATATAAGAGCACTCCTATTTGAATGTACGGTGTTCTTTCGCCATGTTAGTCTTTTCATTCACGTTTCACAAAGGTTTCAGCTAACTCGGTGAAGGGAGAAAAGGCATGTAGTGATAAATCAGCGAATGGCTCCTGTTTGAATATGCGCGCAGTACAAATTCTTATCCAGTCCTTCTCTGGCGGGTAATCCATAATGGCGGACGACGTGAGAGTGTTTTTATTAATTCTCTAGGGATAAACAAAAACGGTTGTTTGTTATTTAAAAGAGCGTTTACATTCAGTTTCTCAATTAAATCTCTTTGCTCATTGCTCCATAATGGCAGAGAAGAATTCGAAAGGGAAGACGCAAAAATGGGAACCAGTAGAATTGGACGATCCTTCGTTCTTTGCGGGCGAAATGGATGGATTTGTGTCCCTTGAAGTCATGGAAGATTATTATCCAGTAGAGCTAGCAGGAATTGGTGCAGGTGGACCAGCTCAGAAGAAGAAAATAAAAGAACGGCCGCTGCAGGAGGTGAATTGCTTAAAACGCTTTAAAACATACCGCATGGTTAAATTTAGAAGATACAAATGTAAGATTCACTTCAAGCACGTGGTGAAATTACCCTTGTATTTTACGAGAAATTGGGAAAAAATTATCTTTTTAAATTTTTTTGTTTATTTATTTTTTATTATAACTCATCTTTAATTATTAAATGTTGAGGGTTGTCCAATACATCCAAATTGGGTTGAGTCGTTCACAAATCGACACACCAGAAGTTAATTAGTGGTTAAGTCATCTTGTGATACTGGAAATCTGAATAAACCGTGCCTCTTAAGGTGGAAATGTCTTACGACAAGTCGATTTTCAAGACGCTTAATAATAATCCTCAACCTGACTCAAATGGAATGACTTGTCTCCTGAGTCAGATTGGGTGTATAATTTGGACATGAGAATCAAAACTAAGATAACTGCCAGTCGTACCTTAAATGAGAAAAGAAACAAACAAACACAAAGAAAACAACAACAACACACACCACAAGAACTACATGGAAATACAGCAATTGATCAAAATCATTTTGAGAGCAGTTTGTCCTAAATTTTTTGAAGACAGCAGACTGCATTGGCCCAGGGGCTCATGCATTTTTTCAGTTTTTACCCATACATGCACAATTATGTATATCTAAGAATAGAAGCTGGTTTTCTCTAGAAGTTTGGCTAACGGGGAAAAAAAAAAGCTACATAGTATTGTCTTTTGATTTAAATCTTCAGGATAATCTGGAACAAACAGTTACCACACCATCCACACAACTTGAAAAAGCACAAAGAATGACCAACAGACAAAGGGAAAAAAGAAGTGGAAAAAGAAAAACAAGGCCCAAAGTAAAGCCCAGTCAGAAGAGCAAAACAGAGTAGAAATGGTCACTGACAATAGACTGGTGGAAGATCCTCCAGGTAAGATTTAATTTTAGGAATTATGGATGGGAAATGCACAAAACAAAGTACAATTTTACTCTAATGATTGTCCTTGAATTTTATTATTAAGAAGAGAATCAAACACATTTTGTGTAGATAATGTTATCTTGGAAAAGACATGATTTTCTATAAGTAATGGTAATTGAACTAAGTGGAGTGCAATTTGGGCTGAAATCATATGCGTGATTTCAAAATCAAACGAGTGCACAGCGTGAGTTCGATTTGAAATCACAAGTATGATTTCAGACATGACACGAGGTTCAATTACCACTTTATTACATCCATTTTGAAATCACCCAAATACAGGACTTGGCAAGTTCAAATATTTTATTGCTGCAGTACTGAGCTGGTCTGAAATGAAATTCATCCATTTTTTTTTTTTGGGGGGGGGGGGGGAAAGTAAGAGTTTTGGAAACAAAAGTTGCAAAATTTGCCACGTGATACTCTTTGTCTTTCATTTTCCTGCAATTTGATCAGTTACTTTAAACAAGCCTTGAAATCTGATTGGTTGTTTTGTTTTTAGTGTAGCCACCTCATTGGCTGGAAAAAAGATGTGATTTAAGGCGAAAAATGATGTGATTCGTGAATAAATTGCATCAATTAGAGCCAATCAGATTACAGGGACCACCAGTGATTTCAAAATGGGTGTAATAAATAATGTAATTTTACTGATAAGTTTTTTATTACTGTATTGTTATTTATTAATTAAGTGTTTATTAATTTAGATTATGAAACCTTTATAAACATATTTCATATCTATGCAGGTACAAATAACTTATTATGTTCAACTGTAATAAAATGATATTTCCCACCAACACTATGAGTTTAAGATGCAGTCATATTTTATAGCTAAATCATTTATTTTGAATGAACTAAACTTCAGAGCCCATGGTAGATATTAGTACTTGGGAAGTCCTTGGTACATACATACATACATACATAAGCTTTATTTATCCTCGGATTTCAGTGTAGCTTACAAGCTAGTATCTCCGATCCTAATTACTAATTTTAAAAGTTACAGCAAGAACAAGGCTAAAAAGAGAAAAAAAAAATCATAATATAATAATATTATAATCATTAATATAATAATATAATGTAATATTAATGTAATAGTAACAGAAACCGTGCACTAACAGTTTGCGCTTAAATTCACTATAATCTACAGTCTTTCTAAAGTGGTCTGGGAGGGAGTTCCAGTACTTAACAGATGAATAGCTAAAATAATTTAGACCATATGTGGTTGTAAACGGCTTAGGAAGTGATAAAATATTGGTGCCCCTTAGGGAGTAAGCAGTAGATCTTAGCTTGATTAGTTGTTTCAAATAGCACGGATATTTACCAAGATGGAGGCAGTTGAATATACAAATCATCATATTTTGTATCCTCCTGTTGGCTAAACCACACACACCTGCCTTGTCTAAAAGATCATCATAGTTCGAGTCCCAGTCCTTTAAAACAAATCTTAAAATACCTCTATTTAAGGTGTCCAGTTTAACAGAGTCCTCTGAATTACAAAAGTGCCATATCATTGAACAGTAGTGAAAATGGGGTAACATAAACGTTTTATAAAGGCGAAGCATAATTTCGGTAGAAATAAGTTTGCCAAATCTTTTGAAGACACTGAACTGATTATTTATTTTTTTACATACAGAGGATATGTGTTCCTTGAAATTAAGTTCATTATCAAGAATTATTCCAAAAAGTTCCAGGCATCTTGTGGTTGAGAAGGAGAAAGGGTAATCGGTTTTGCCAAGAACCATCCCTTGGTGTTTAGCGGGGTTGGCTTTCATCCCATTGTCTTCGAACCATTTGTTTGCTATTTGTACATCATGATTGATCCGCTGTTCCAAGGCTACTGGGTCTACGTCAGATGTGTACAGTTGGCAGTCATCAGCATAAGTGTTTAGTTTTACAGACTTAATGTGAAAGATGAGGTATTGAGGAACATGTTGAAAAACATGGGTCCCAGGACCTTGCCTTGAGGCACGCCACGCTTCACGCTCATCCAATCCGAATAAGTATCACCAATTTTCACTCGCTGCATTCTATCCGTCAAGTAGTCACCGATAAGGGCACAGCTGGATTCATGCAAACCATACGCTTTCAGTTTCGCTAGTAGCAAAGCATGAGGTACGGTGTCGAAAGCTTTTGACAAATCCATTGATATAACCGCCACGATCTCTTTATTATCTAGACTACGCCTCCAGTCCTCAGTCAGCCTAAGCAAAGATGTCTCACAGCTATGGTGCCTTCTGTAGGCAGATACGTATTCGGACAATATGTTTTGGTAAAAGTCGCCCATTTGAGCTGAAAGCAGCCTCTCGAAAACATTATTGAGCGCAGGTAAAACGGTCACTGGTCGATAATTGCTTTTGTTCAGTTCATCGTCCTTTTTAAATAAAGGAGTAACTTGACCTAATTTCCAGCGCGACGGATACTGTCCTGTCCTGATCGAGTGATTCATTATTGCAGCAATAGGACCAGCAATCGCGTTGGCAGACTCTTTTACCAGTCGCGGTGGTATTCCGTCATGACCACAGGATTTGCGGGAGTTGATTTCGAGTAACAAAGCTTCCACTTGGGTTTTATTAGTATATTGAAAAGCAAATTTGTTTCTCACAGCGAGCTGTTCATTGTTGTTGAAAATCGCCTGAATGCTAGGATGCGCATCCAACTCTTTTCCATAACTCTGTTCAGTAATCTCTGGAACGCCGTCCGCGATGTTGACAAAATAACTATTAAAAGCTCCGCCATTTGTTTTTTGTCTGTTATCACGACATCGTGTTCTTTTAATATTATGTCATTTGCTTGCGTGCTTTTCCTTGAATGCAAAAATGGGCGGTATGTGTCCCAAAACTCCCTTGGGTTTTCCGACTCACTTTTCTTGTCGAAGAAATTTTAATAGCTTTACGTCTTAGAGAAGTGCAAATGTTCCCTTGTCTCTTGTACAATTCATAATTAGTATCAGTTCTTTCGCGAATGAAACGTTTCCACAAACGGTTTTTCTGACGAATAGCTTTGCGCCATTGTTCATTCATAAAGGGAACTTGATTTCCCCTTATGCGGACCTGTTTCAAAGGTGCATGCTCACCAAGAATGTCTTCGTATAGACAATCAAACACGTAGAGCTTATCGTCAACGTCGTCAAATATTTCAGCTACTTGGAAAGGAACATTATGCAAATCATGTAGAAAATGCTGTTTATCAAAATTTTTAAGGCTTCTGAATTGTATTTTCCGAGATCGTATTCTCGGTTCCGATGCCCTGAGCATGGCAAACACAAGAGAGTGATCACTTATATTAACATGGACTACGCCCGATGACTGTATTTTTCTCAAGTTGTCAGTGAGAAAAAGGTCCAGTAGGGTTTCTGATGTCTTGGTAATACGGGTGGCTTCATGTATTAAATTCTTCAAGTCGTAAATATCAAGTAGGTTTGCCATAACTCTACCATCCCTTGGCGGCTTGTCTGGTAGTAACATATCCGAGTTAAAGTCGCCTACGAAAAAGCAGTTACCAGGAAGTATTGTGATCGCCTCAAGTATTGAAGATAGTTCAAATTTCCATAGCGATTGTGGGATAGACGCAGATGTTGGAGGTCTATAGAAACCGACGATGGTTTCCCACTTCTTAGCTATCCTCACCTTCAGCACAATCGATTCAGTCTTGTACCGTTCACGCTCACATAATCGAAGATTGGGAAGGTCTTTAATGACTTTAAAGCAGAGGTCTGCGCGGATATAGACCAATAAACCACCGCCATGTATGTTTCTGTCAGCCCTACACATTCGATATCCGGTGACCATAAATTGACTATCTGGAAAACTGGAATCCAGCTTCGTTTCAGAAAGTACTAAAATATCAAACTTTCCTTCTAATAGCCAATACTTGACCTCAAAGAATTTAAAACCTGCAATATGGTCCACATTAACATGTCCGATTTTAATGTTGGTCCAATGTTTCTTAATCAAGGCATCATATTCACTCCATGTTTCATCGTCGGAACATGATCCAGTAGAACTGTTGGTACTTGTGCTGGAGTTCAAACTCGAGTCCGCAAAAGGTAATTGGCGAAGAGCCTCCATACATGACTCGCAAGTGTGCGATGTACTGCCAGACGACTGCAAAATTAGATATTGCTTAGGGGTCACACCGCCGCATTTAATGTGAGACCACAACGAGCAGCAGTCGCATATGGTTGCACGGTGATTTCTAGCAATCGTCCGATCACACTCCTTGCATTTTTTACGAGAACTGTCATGGCGGACGGCTGATTTACAAGTCGAGTTACATTGTCTGTGAGGTCCTGGATGAGGATGAATGTCTCCACTTCTAACCACAGAAAGAGCAACCGGGTTGAAGGAAGCTGTACAGTTCGAATAGTACGCCACTCTTGACTTCTGAAACTTCTTGTGAGGTGAGGTGACAAAATGGCCGCCGATCCGTGACATATGCCTTGGCGAAATTAGATTGAAATCGACCGAGTATGAGTTGAAATACTTGAAAAATTTATCCCCGTAATGCACTTGAACATTCTTCGAGAGCTTGAGAGAGTATAAGTTGACAGAGAACAAAGCTAACAGCGAAAAACTTAATAAAATTACGGACAAGCTCGAAACACGTCTGACCGCCATAACCACCGCTGACGCTCATAAGTAACCGAGTAACGGTACGGAAAGAGCCTTGCGGAAAGTGATGAATGATGTTCTTCTTAACATGAACTCTCAGCAAGTCTCACTTAAGGTGTTCCCAAAGAAGTTCAGAGAGGACTCAGTGAACAGAGTTTTACTACACCAACCCCTATACAGACTCTCTCCCTTCCACCTGCAATATTCCACTACAGGGACATCATTGGTGCAGCAGAAACAGTGAGTTGAATCAGAGCAGTTAGATTGGTGGAGGTCTCCTTTTTTATGTGTACTGTTTGTGTACTTGGTTTCACAACTATTTTGAAGAATCCTTTTTTTTTTTTTGGAGAGGGAGAGAGAGAGGAAAAAAATAATTTTCAACATGTACATGTGTCTACTATGATCTACACCTAGCTCATTTAGCTCATTTATGTGTAAGAAGACTTTCCCACACATTATGGCAAACAGTTTCTGTTACTTTAGAGCTGGTCTTTGACCTGAATTAATGTCTAAGTATTAAGTGATTGTTGAATAATTATAAATATGACTTTTGTAAAAGCACTCTTGAGGAGAGCTGTTGAGCTGAAAGTATGTGTATGATGTACCTCTTGAGAGAGAGAGAGAGGACTGACTGACTGACTGACTGATGGTTAAATTTTGCTCTCTTAAGAACTAATGTAATAGCTCTTCCTTCTTTATGTAGGCATTCTATATCTTCCTATAGTTGGTTGATGGAACATTATTTATACAAAAATGTGCATTACAATAAGATTGTCAAGATAAGTCCCTTCAGGTTGTAAGTTTCGTAGTTTTCATATCATTCATTGGATAATGCCTTGAAATTGTCTGTTGAAGTTATGATAAAATCACTTGGGAGAAGTTTAGCTTCCAGGAATGGCTGATTTTTGAGGAGGTTATTATTTAAGGATATTAATTAAAAAATTTATGTATTTATTAGGGTTCAGGTAAAACACAAGCCTTTGGGATTCTAATTCTCACCCACATCCTTGGCCACAAGTCCAGTCAAGAAGCAGGTGAAACTACAAAAAATACTACCAAAAATAATGCTACAAAAGCCACAGAAACTGGTAATGGAACATCCAAGCTCAAGAAACCACTCCTGGCATTGATAATGACACCAACCAGAGAATTGGCTATACAAATAAAAAATCATCTTAAACAGGCTGCAAAACACACATCCTTAGAGGTAACATCATGTACTTAAATTGACAATTTGGAAGTCATCTCCACAGTTAGATTCTGTTTTCCCATTGTTAGAAACTCAATTATTACTTTATTTTTATTGGCCCAAGTCAATTTTGTCTCCTGAGCCTTCAATTTTCCTCTTTTCAGTGGAGCAGAATGCAAACCTATCTCTTGTTTGGAAAGCATTTTTTTATTTTTTTGGGGAAACATGAATTTGTAGCCACAATAGGCTTAAGCAATTTAAATAATGATGAGTTAGTGCTGAAAACATAGTTATTCCCTCAAACATAAACTCTATTGTTTTTTGGTACCATATTCTGGACTGAAATATTTATTTTATCTTTGCCCCTTCACCAGCAAAGTATATAAAAACCCTTTTGTTCAGAGAATTACAATCCTAGCCCCTATGATGTACCATTTACCCCCTACCCTCCCCTCCCTTGCCGCCCCTTCTAGTCCTGTTTCAACTTGTATCTTTTATCAGAGAAATACCCACCAAACAAAGTACCTCAAAATTATTTGAATCAGTAAACAATTCCTTTTTTTCAAGATTGTTGCTGTGGTTGGAGGAATGGCACCTCAAGAACAACAGAGGCTTTTAAACAAGTATCCTGAGGTAATAGTAGCCACCCCGGGAATACTGTGGGATTTGATTTCCGAGGTAAGTACCTCATGTATCATAAGTTGTACTGATTCACTTTCTTTTAGAGATCTGAAACAGTCGACACACACTTGTACATGTAGGTATGTTTCTCATGAGATCGGTTGTCCTGTGTAGTTTTCAGCATGAATTTGGATTTCTAATGTCGTGTAAGTTTTTCCTGTAAGCATTTTCTACTGCTCTGTAAACATCAATGCCAGGCGTTTTTTTTCTTTTTCATATACCCAACGGTGAAATTGGAGTGTAGCCTCTTTCTATTAAATAGATGATTCTAGAGATATCTGCTGGCGGCGTTTAATTTCAGGGTGAAGAGCATGTCTGCCGTTTGGAGCACTTGAGATATCTTGTGATTGACGAGGCAAACAGAATGGTGGAGCAAGGCCACTTTCAAGAATTATCTTCAATATTGGAGCTCATTCATAGAAAGAGGCAATGGACTTCAATTTCCATCGGAGCTTGAATTTCTCTCAGGCTTCTCTTTCTGAAATTAATGGTTTTCATGACTGTCAACTTGTAAACTGAAATTTTAACTTTAATGTTTCCTTTTCGCAGTGATTATGATGAAGATGAGGGAACTGCAAAGCGAAGACATCTACAGAAGTTTATTTTCTCTGCAACTTTAACTCTTCCAAAGTCGTTTAAGAGGAAAGGAAAAGAAAAGAAGATCACAAGTGAAGAAGGCTTTGGTAAATCACGGCATATTTGACTCAGAGTAATAGAAGCTAAAGATAGTATCAACGTAATTTATCAGCTATTACTGAAGGAATGAAATGATTTAAATAATCCATCATTTAAAACCCGAAAATTTGCTGCTTTATGAAGTGTGTCGAAGCTTGTATTGTGTTGTTTTGCTTTTGTCTTTGTTATCTAACATCTTAGTTAAACATGATTAAGTTGACCGGCTTGTGTTCTTCCGTTAACAGCAATACTCTTTGCATTTTACATTTTTAGTGTCACTGATGGACAAAGTTGGGCTGCAGAAGAACAGTTGTAAAATTATCGATGTCACCAACAAGAGAGGAACCGTAGAAACCCTGACAGAAGCAAAGATCTCATGTGTAATTGAAGAGAAGGTTTGTAATTGTTGAGCTGACAAGGAAGAGAAAAACTTCGAGATTCAGGATACAATTTTTACTACTTTTTATTGTTGGTTTGAGCCAAATGCATCTACATGTACACCGCACTGTCTAGGAACATGATCCACGGAGCCACAGAGGTGTACCAAGTGAAATCGAAGGAGAACTACGAAACATACAGTTGTTGTAAAAATCACCTCATTCAGATTTATTTGAATTTTCTTTCTAGGACCTATATCTCCACTATTTCCTTTCCCGGTACCCAGGCCGTACTTTGGTTTTCTCCAAAACTGTAGACTGCGTGAGGAGACTGGGCTCTTTGTGTAGGCTCCTGGACTTTAACCCGTGGGTTCTGCACGCCAGCATGCAACAAAGGCAAAGATTAAAGAATTTAGACAGGCCGGGTGAAAACTGAGTGGGATGGAAAAAACAAAAATACAAAAAACAATGAAACAAACGAAACAAACAAAAACCAGAACAAAAAAAAAACCAAACAAAAAACTCAACAAAACAAAGCAACTATTAGGAACCCAATTTTGTAGACAACGTGCTATTTTCCTGTTGCGTCTTTCACGTTCTTTACTGCGCAACTTGCTTTGCGCAAAACACTGGGCGACACGCGTGCTATGTGGCCTTGGATCAGAATCATCCTGATCTTATTACTATTTTTTTTTCATCAAAACAGTGAGTATAGTTTACGAACTAACCGACCAATGGAATTTCCTTTTTTGATAGACTATAACTGGATCGCCTTGACTGATTAAAACCCGCCCCTCTCCTCCCTCAGAGAATATTTAAAGCTAGATAGGACTCACACCAGCCAATGAAATTTTGGCTGATTCTTTTCTTGCCTGTTAAATTTAAGCAAAGTGCGAGTGGCTTACTTCTGGCTACAGATGTGGCCGCGAGAGGTTTGGACATACCAGCTGTTGAGCATGTGATTCACTATCAAGTTCCGAAGGACCTTGATGTAAGTACGTGTAAGTATGTGTGTACGGTTGGTTAGCTTGTGCAGTTGGTTAGCCTGTGCGGCAGGCGGGAACGGGAGCGATTGCTTTTTGGCGGCAGTGCTTTCATTCTCCGCGAAACTCTACCTTGACAAAAGGCTTCGGAAGTCACACTGCTTCAACCAACCATGCGTTGACCAAGGTGTGGGCTACAAGTCTCAACTGTAAGAGAAGCTCAACCAGAATGTGGATAGCAAAGTTCGAACGCCGTTGACGCCTGAATTCTTTATTTACCTCTAAATTTATTTAATTGCATATATTTAGTTATTTCTAAAACTTCATTTTCTAAATCTTTGTTTTGTTTCCGATTTGAGTTAATGTGTGAGGTTCACCTACCGAAATCAAAACATAATTCATTTCAGTTAATGAGTTTTGATTTAGGAAAAAAATTGACTCTGTTCAAATGCAGTTTATATGAGAGGAGTAGTTTGTTATTGTTTATCGTCCTCAGTTGTATCTCATTTAATAATGAACTGTTGTGTAATGTAACCACAATGTAAGTATTAACTTTAGCGCAACCATCTTATGTGATTCTGCGTTCCTAAATTCTTTCTCTCTGTGTTCGTTGACAGCTTTACATTCACCGCAGTAGACGGACAGCTAGAGCAAGCAGGGAGGGTCTGAGTGTCGTTCTTGTTGGCCCAGAAGAAATGGGATCATACAAGAAAATTATGAAGGCGCTTAATGGAGGTGAAGTGTCTTTATTATGTCCAACGTATCTCTTTAACAGTCAAACTCTAAAAGGTTATTTGCAAATCCCCCTCAGTTTAAGGTGCCATTCGTCTAAATTTCCTTTTTAGTTAGAAAAATTTACGCCTTAACGTTAGTATGCATATTATACATGCATACTGTTCTCTATATATTTCTTAGGGTGTTGACATGGAGAATGACATGTTATTTAAGGGCAAATCCAGGGAAGGGCAATCTGTTGGGCTAAGGATGGCTTTTTCAGTCTGTTAATTAAAAAATGACAAGTAGTCTGCTTGTGCAGGTGGATAGTTCAGGCGATGAAGAACCCACTTCGAGATTCTGCTGCAAGTACAAAAAGGAGAACAAGCGTGTTCGGGTAAGTATTTTCGGGCTGCGTTTAAAATAACCTGTGCAAGTTGGCACGAACCTTTCAGTGAAATGGCACAAACCATATAGGAAATGTTATGAGCAATTTGCGACGTTATTCGTTGTGATGCAGAAGTAACCGCTGAGTCTCCTGTTCTTGGGGATTGTTTTAATGGTAAAATGTTCTTATCGTTGTCAAAATTTTACTTGACAGAACTTGAATTGTTTAAGTGGACTGTTAACGCGAAAACCAATGCTTGCGTAGATGGCCAGATCTCGCGCTCCGATCACGATCGTGAAAATAAGAGCACGTGAGAAGGATCTATTTTCACGGGCGACAAAAATCAAATTTTTGTCACGTAATTTGGAACTTTGAATCCTGAAAATTGAAGTTTGAATCTTTTGGCATTCGACGGCTTACAATGGGCCAATGTTATCCCATTTAAGCCTGTACTGCTATATTAGTCACGCGCTTCAGTTCATCTGTTAAAAATACACTTTTTAGTATCTGGAAGCAGTGGGTTTTGAAGTTAAATTAATTTGGAAAAATATTTGATTGGTAGAAAATCCCGGGAGTGTAATATAAAATGATTTGATTTATAAAACGCAACATGCACTGTGAAGAGGAGTCCTCAGTTCTCCCTTTAGGTTGATTCCCGTATAGAGAAGTAGGCCTCTTGCAAAAAGAAAATTGGTTGGGTCCTCTGCTAGTGCTTGTTTCCTGAATTTGACGTCATATTCTCTTCTAGCATGATGACAACTGTGACAAGACTACAGGCAAAATACCTCATGAGAAAACCGCTGTGGTTTAGAAAGTAAACTTGACGCTCATTGATTCGCCAGTCAAAAGGTAACACTGGTTGCCAATATTATTGGTGCCCTCCTTTACGTTTCCGTACAATATATTTTATTATCAAGAGAATGGGCTTTTTTGTGTTTGTATTAATCGAAACTCGACGGTCGTTTGCTCGAGCAAGTTTTCCGGTGGCCAATGCGACCTGAACTTTCAATTAACAAAAGTTACAATCAAGAATACTGCTCTCGACTTTCGACTGGAGTATTTAAATTATTTCATACAATTCAAACAATCATACCTAATAATAAATCAGTCTGATTTTTTTTTCTTATCAAGGGTGTGTGTGGATATTGAGACGAGCGACAGCGATGAGTGCCTTTTCAAACCAGTCTTTGCATCAGAAAAGTGAGTCACTCAAATATATATATCATAAAATTTCCGTAGTAACAGTGAAGTCATTGAACGCGTTTACGAACAATTAACTCTGAAGGGTATATTTTAATTGTCTGATTATTTCAAAACGATGTCGGTGAGCGATCACCACACCTTGCACGAAACGTTAGAGAATTTTGCTCTCCCGCTGTGGCGTTTGAGAAACCTATGATATTCTTTTACTGTCTTCTATAGAAATGTGGCTGAAAAGGTAAATAAGAAAGTGCTGACACACCAGTTGAACGACTCCAGCGGTAGCAGTGAAGACGAACAAGGAACTGATTACTTGAACGACGACCCAATGTTTCCCATCTACCGACAGGGATTGCTTACGGGTTTGGCTTCCAGGAAAGTGGTAGATATCCTCTTCCATCCGCCTCGAGAACTTATTGCACGTGCTGTTCCTTCCGCTGTCTCCGAAAATTCTGTCTTTGTGGTGGAAATATCTGCCCCACACATAAAGCACTTTAAAAATGTTCTGGCGACGACCTTGGTGCATGGAATCCAACTGGAACGAAACAGCGATGTATTATAGTATCATATACTATATAGTATATAGTATGATACTACCGTGCTTCCAACAAGAGGAATCCTGTTCGTAAGCCTTCCCAATCAGAATATGATGATCATGAGGCACAGGTCTATAAATGTACGAGAAGCTTCTACAGGAATGAATCCTCCCCCGATTTGCAAAGGATTTTCATTTATCTGACAGGTAAGACTATTTTAACAAATAAATAACAGTGAGGTCCTTATAGAAAAATCTCAAACTTTGAGTGGAGGCCTAGCGGTATTAACCTAGCGATAGCGAGGTCATTACGACAAGGCCTCAGTTTGAGAGGTTCCTGTTACAATGAATAAACAGTTGAGGTTAGTAAGACATTTGTAACATGGATCATGAAAAAAGCTTCCGAAGAAAGAGAAAGTCAATTCAAACCAAAGATCAAACTGCTCAAGTGAAATAAGTAAACTGTGGCGTGCTCCGAAAAGTAGTGTGTGGCCAAAAATAGGAAACAAAATTATTGGCAAAAACAAAACAAAACAAAATTTTTCTATATTCGAGTGAAAAACGTCCATCTTCAAAACCTCACCGTAAAAAATTTACGTCCTCATAAGTCATAATGTAACAAATCTGACTAGCAAAAGGGGGTTTTAATCAATACAGCATATCACACCAGTGCACAACATCTGGTTACCAAGTGCATTCAAATATCAAAACCTTTATTAATTTTCATCTTCTCCTTTTTCAGATTCCAACGGAACGATTCACAGTTTTGCTCTTTTGCAATATGTTTTTGATGATAATGAACACGAAGTTAAAGTTAAACCACATGGAAATTCTAAAAGTCTTTCCAAAGAGTATTACCGCACTTCGCATACTACCATGGAGCGGTTAAAAGAGCTCGCGAAATCTGACCCTCCCAAGACGGTGTTTTTCAAGAGTATCGAAGAAAAGGGAACAATTTTAAACTTTATAAACGCAGCTAGCCATGCCAGAAATTTACAACAGATAAAGAACATTAAAAAAACCATGGAAGAGCAACCTGGGGATTCTACACTCGAGCTGATAGACATGCGAAGCAAGGAAACAGAGACAAAGAGAACGCCTTCGTCCGTAAAGTAGAGACCTCGTCAGATCCTTGTGTTGTCCTAACCACTGACCAGCAACTTAAGGACGTGGAAAGATTTTGCACAAATCCTAGCCAGTTCAGTATTTTAGGAGTCGATCCCATTTTCAATTTTTGGAGACTATTATGTGACTCTTACTACATACAGGCATCTCCTTCTCCGAACCAAAGAAGACAAGAATCCAGTCCGGATTGGACCAACCCTAGTTCACCACAAAAAAGAACCATCCAGATATTACGAGCTCTCGTCTACCATGATAAAGCTAAATGCAAAAACCCAAAATGTTCTAGTATATGGTACTGACGGAGAAAAGGCATTGGGTGAGGGTTTCGGTAGACCTCTCCCTTATGCCCAGCATTTACTCTGTGACCTGCATATGAAAGAAAACATAGTGTCAAAAATGAACGAACTTGGAATACGGGGCAAACCATCAGAAGTCATTCTAAGTGACATCTTCGGAGGAGATATTGGTTGTAAGAGGGTTCCTGGTCTTATAGACTCGGAAAGCCACGCCCAGTTCGTGACCAATCTGGAAAAAATGAAGGAGGAGTGGCTTTCCTTACACCCACTCTCAGAGCGCTTTATTACTTACTTTTGTAAGTACAAAGCGGAAATTATAAGGCAAACGATGACAGCTGAATTGAGATCCATGGCTGGTCTAGGCTGGCCACCAGGTGTATACGATCAGAACGGAAATGAATGTATGAACTCGGTTCTACAAAGAGAGAAACAACTTACAAGGAAAAGGAAGCTTTCTATTCCCGAATTTGCCAGGTTGCTGCAGACGGTGGTGAAAAGACAGAACAGAAGAGGATTTAGCATTTATTGGCTCGGAGAGCTAAAAATGGACAAAAATTACGAGGAAGAGGGAATGAAGGAATCTGTCTTTTACAGGAAGGCGAGAGCGCAACAAGAAGCGGCGCTCAAAAAATTTCACAATCTCTCAGTAAAGACAGTTGACATAATTCCTATCGACCTGGAAAACACAAATGAAGCGGACACAATGTCACCATTGAGTTTGCCTCTAGAAGATTTTGGCATTATCCGGGTTCCCTTCAGTATTCTAGCACGTATGTACCATCGTGCATCGTTGATTTTGGCGCGCAAAGAAGAAAATATTCATCCCGATCCTGGAAGAGGGGACAATTTGCCACGTTATGTGGCAAACGAGGCAATTGATGCTCCATCGTATGCAGTTTGCAAGAAACGTACCGTGCGACGTGGAACATATTATGTGTGCAGCGGCACTTGTATCGATTTTAAAGCGTATGACATTTGTGCTCATACTTTAGCTGTGGCTGAAATGGGTCGTTCATTGACTGAGTTCGTTCATTGTTACAAGACAACGAACCAAAGGCCTCCTAACGTGGATGCCTTGATTCACATGGACCTCCCTCCTGGACGTGGGTCAAAAAAGACCAAGGCAACACAAAGAAGGAAAGGTGCTACAAATAAAAAAAGAGAGGAAGTTGTGGAGAGTTACACTAACACCTCTCCAACTGACCATTCAGCATCAAATCCGGCGTCGACTTTAGTAAGATCCTCAGGAAACAGAGGCACAGAGAAGGAAGCAGAGAAGACAACAACACAAAAAGACACAGAAGAGCCTCAGGTATGTATATATTGTAAGGATCATTCACAGTTAATACAGGGTGTAATGCGTGATTCTGTTATCTCGGGTTTTAGATCGGTGAAAGATTTCAAATTTTTTTGTGTGATTATGCTGCCAACCGTTTGATTTTTTATATCGACTATGATCATGGTAAAGTCCCGCTATATGTTAGCTCTGTGCAAGTCGTTCTATTTCACTAACTGGTGAGCTAATTGGGTTGAACGAAATAAAAACTCTATCAAATAAAGCTTGTAGTGATAATGCGCGGCAAAACAGTCCTCCTAATCACAGAACCTTTCAATTGTAGAAATGGCCTGCAGGACATAAGGTTTATAAGGATTTAGGATCTGGCGAGACCGTCGGCTCGTTGCATAATTCCCACGCAGCCACCGACTAATCTTGGCTGTTAACTAAAATGCCATTAATTTTATTTTATCTGCAGAATAATAGCCCCAACACATCAACGCCGGCAGTTCAAGAAGGTAGTTTCCGTTGAGCCTCTTAAAAGATGCAGCCCTCTTATTGTTTTTAATTGCTCTTATTCATAATGACGTCACGGCTTGTTTATGAGGGGGACAGAATCGTCTAGAACAATAGAAATTCGTTTAAAACTCGCTCTGGTAAGAAAAGTTTGAACCCAAATGGCCTGGGACTCAAATATGAGATGCACTAATGTTTAATAAGCAATATTTATTGCACTTGATGGCTGTCACCGCTTTTCTTTGGTCTATAAAACGAATTTTATTTCAATTTTTTTTGTGTTGTTGCTGTTTTGTCCCCCTCCCGCGACAATGCTTCTTTTCCACATGGGCAATAAAAACATGTTGAAGACGAAATACCCGTTTTATTAATCCACGCCAATAATATATAATAGCTAATTAGTATATATATTAATGCATATATTTTAAGGTATCGGGACTTATAGAAAAGATCGATACAAGTGAAGTTCGGAAATAAATGAAATAAAAATGGGGGTCACCGCGCTCGTTTTCAAAATAAGAGGGGGTAAACTTCAGCAATCTTCCGTATGTTCGGGGTGGTTTCTTTCAAGCCTCATGAGATAGGAAGTCCCTTTTTCCACATGGGCAATAAAAACATGTTGAAGACGAAATACCCGTTTTATTAATCCACGCCAAGACGGATCTTTAAGTGGCTTCGACGCCAAATTGAAAAGTACTCGATTCTTTCTGAGTTAGGAAACTAGCTCCATTTACAATTCGCAAACCATACGCCATATACGCATCATATAACTTTGATTTCAATTTAATAGCGTTGACGTCGACCTCATAAGGCGCTAGTAAATACTTAAAGTGAATATTTTCAGTCTTGAAAAAGTCACTGTCGTTACATTTCTTCGCAGCGGTTTGAACGGTTACCTGAATGGCATGAATTTTGTCGCATTTATCAAAGATGACAAAGTCAAAGGCGCTGGTATTAGGACAATGGACAATCATTGCACTATATTTATCTCTAGTTATCTGTTCTATCGATTTTCTCGTATCTGTTTTGCTTTGATGTCCACACAAATTTAAGTAGGAGCTAGCAGCAGTGGAACCACATGCCTCTTCCTTGAAGGAATACTCATTTTTCACACATTCCTTGAGATTGCTAAATATCAGCTTCTCCCAATATTTGCCAACTAAGTTGCCAGGTCTCCCTGCAGATAGGCCTTTTATGGTATCCACCTGATGAAGAGATGGAGCCTCATTATACTTTATGCTTTGGGGCGTGACACGCTGAATGAATGGTGAATGAAGCCATAATTATTTCTTTCATTTACCAAACGCAGGGATGTATCCAGCCTGGTCCACCGCGGTCAAACGTCCAACGCGGTTTTCGTTTTATTCAGTGGGATTTTATTTAATGTAAGCAAGGATGAGTAAAAAAATTAGTTCACGTTATTACCTTTTAATTTTTCTCAAAATGATGATCTTTTTTCCGTGGAAAACTGACCAAAACTCTTTGCGCCTGATCCAAATTATGTTGACAAATGGCGCCGACGATTCTGCGGTTCACAGTATTTAGAACTTTTTTGGTAAACTTTCAAAACGTTTGGTAAATTTTGGTAAATATGTTGGCAATATATTAAACTTTAATAAACAGTGAAAACGACTACCTTAACCTTTAAGTACTTTGTTTAACTTTTGCAAATTTCTCTCGTTTGACCGCGGTTAACCAGCCTATAAACCTGCAGATTTGTTCCCCGTGGGGCGGGGTGGGGAGTTCGGCTCCCATACTGAACTGACACTAGGGGGGCTCGGCTGTGGCCCTAAAAATGACCCCTAAAAGGCACTGTAGGTTGACTGAAAAGCTGATCGAGAATGATATTTTTGTACTCTGCTTTACATGACAAATCAGTTGACTGACTTATTGGCATCTGGTTATCGGTTACCCATTTCAGATGTGTCATGAAGAATTCGACATGTTTTGGTTGTCTGCTCATTCTAGCGCTTAATTTGTTGTTAATAGACGAGGTACTAGTCGAGCACATTTACTATAATGTTTTGCATGGAAAAAATGTTGTCTGTTTACCAAACGGGGAATCGGTAGCCTGTAACTGAAATTCTGAAATCGGTAACCGGTAACTGAAAGTCTGAAATCGGTAACCGGTAACCAGATTCCAATTAGTAATCAATTGACACCCTAAATGGTACCAAGTTAATTATAAAATTGTTTTTTTCAACAGCCCCCCTAAATAGTACCATATCTGGAATTTTACACTCAAAATGGTACGGCCGAGCCCCCCTGTCAGTTCAGTATCGGCCCCCCACCCCAGGATTTGATCGCCAGAGTAAAAAAAATCAATACTTACTACATCCAACAAATAATTAGGATTTTCCAACGTAAACTGCACAACAGCTTCTTCAACCAGAGGGCTAACGACGGATACTTCTTTCAAATCGAGTCCTGGTGGTTTCAAACAAGACCAGGAAAAGGTTGCTGGTGATCACTAGCCTTGCAAGTATTTATCATCGCTAGTGACCTGATGCGCACACGTTTGCACCTATCAGGAATCTACAGTGCTTCGTCTTCTAGTACTTGTAGAATATTAGTAATTGCCTTGACCATGAAAAGTTCAACGTTACTGTTGCCTCTTAGAAGGTACTTAGCGTACTGAATGACTGTTCGAGGAACATAGCCAATGTGTGCCAGCACGTCGGTGGGCCCGGGGACAATTCCTGCTCAGTTTGGATATTCTGTAATATGACAAATATGAACGTTACAAATCATAAATGTAGTTGGTGATCAGAAGGCTTAACATCAATCTACTACTACTACTCGTTATCCGAAAAATTCGCGAAGCGACGCGACATTCGAGAGTGTAACACGATAGCTTTTATTTCATTATGTAAATTTTCCGTTGTCTACTCATCGCTTTTTCAAACTTAGAAGTCCTTTGTTTCATACAACAATGAAATACAAAGGAAACTTGTAGCACTGAATAACAAAGGCACATGAATCGCGCATTTTTTTCGACCGAGCGTGCAGAAAAATCGTATATACGCGTCTGACTACCCTGCGTCGGAGCGTATGAAATTCGCCTGCGCAGCTAACGTATACGCGAGAGGTACTGTACATAGAGTAGTGAGGCCTCTTTCCTCACCGTCGATTGAACCCTCCGATTGGATTGTCGTTGCAGTTACAGTACCGACTGGAACTAACCCCCACTTCACATGCAAACATCAGTGCAAACATGAGCAGACCCAGAATCGCGAATAAGACACCCTATTTATGGATCCAGAGGCTCAAAAACCCGACCCTATTAGGCGGCACATACCTATATAGCTTATATATGGGCTTGAAGTTTGGTTGGGTTCACTTCAGAAAGTATGGTCTGCTCAGGTCTGCTTTTGGTGCAATTTTAGTGGGGGACAGTTCTTGTCGGTACTGTATGTGGGAAAAATTATTGCGCCGCATGTATTTATCAAACATATACAAACCTACAGATCGTTAGAAAAATATTAGCTGTTCACATGTTCTAGCTGAAAATTTACTTAGCCGAAAATTCTTTGGAATAAAATGTGATTTTTCCGAAAAATGCCAGCTGAAAATTGTTGTCCAGAAATTTCTAAGTGACCTTTTTTTTAGTAAAAATGACCGAAAATTTAGCAAATTTCATGTGTTTGTAGTGTTCGAAAATTTTACGGTGCGAAATGAAGGGGTGATTGGAATAAAGCCCTAAGTGACTTCTGATCAACTGCTAGATTCTCCTTCCAGTTTGTCTTGTATATGCTCATGTAACAATTTGGCTTCAGATCAGGAGTCACTTAGGGCCTTATTCAAAATAATGTTTGGAATAAGGCCCTAGGTGACTCCTGATTTATAGCCAAATTCTCCCTTCGTTACACGAGCATATACAATATAAACTGGAAGGAGAATCTAGCAGTTGATCAGAAGTCACTCACGGCTTTATTCCACTCACCCCTTCAAATTAAACAATGCAAAGCATAGAAACCACTAACACAAATTTTAGCTGTCATACGCCATCTGAACAGCTTTACTGAAATGAATAGTTGGGTGCTCACTAAGGAAGTACAACAAACTCACCATGATTTATTTGAATAAGGCTCTGCTCCCTGATTCTTCTGGGTTGACACAATACACAATATTTAAATCATGGCAACTGAGAAGAGGCTTGTCACCACTGAATAACGAGAACAGACCATGTCTGGAAGTTGCTGCCATGACACTCCAGTTCTAGAATTAAACAATGACTGTTATAGTTGGTGGCTGTAACTGATTAAAGTATGGCCACTAAAAGTGCCTGTCACCCTTAAATACAATTATATTTTCAGAATCAACTCTACGCACATTGAACAGTTAAATGGTGAAATATTTGTTTTGAACGTCGCGTTATTGAGCTATATAGATTTAAATTTACAAAATGCTAATTAATGACGTCAACATGGGAATCATTTATTATACAACTACTTGTTTTCACCTCCAAGTAATATTTTTTACCAATCAATTGACTATCCACAGTTTATTTTTTGTATTTATCAAATTAATTATCCTCAAGCTGTATACTGCACATTGTAAGTTGGCATAGAAATAATGGCAAATTCCCAGGTTGACGTCATCTAATTAGCATTTTGTAAATTCAAAAACAAGAAATATTTCACCATTTAACTATTCAATGTGCATAGAGTTGATTCTGAAAATATCTATTTAAGGGTGATAGACACTTAAATAGAGGTTCAACTGCATACAGTTCAAACTTGGTTAAATATTCAAATTACAGGTCATTCCTCAGTATTTTGTCTGTTGCAGAGACAACATTTGGAGATATATTTTATGCCATACTTGGTGAAATCTAAATTTCATGTCTTCAATTTATCTCTTATAGTGTGGTTACCTAGAGAAGGTATACACACAGGTACTTTACATTACTCAAAATAATTTTGAGTAATGTAAAGTACCTGTGTGTACAATTATTGTACCTGACCCTTGCAAAGACAACATCAGAGAAACCACAATATTTGATGCCACAAATATAATTCAAAATTCCTCTGAATGTGAAATGCTTTTAAAATCTCTATATTTATGTTCTTTTAGACCAACATGTCTATAATGCATACAGGGTCATGCAGTGTAGAAGCATTTGGTATTTTCGTGTGACAATTGCCATTAAGCAAGTGCACACGTGTTGTGGTCACAACTGCCACTTGGGAATTGCACCTTACAAAATAATTATTACTAGTAATAGTAAAGTAAATGTGCATCTAAAAAATTGCATTGCTGTGACACATTAATACTTAATTTGGTGACTGTTTGCTGTGAATGCTGTGAGATACCTTCAAGGTTAGGCACCACTGGTAGCTTATTTAACTCAAGCTAATAAAGACCAATTACTATGAGGCTTTTGTTACTTTCTTTGTTGTGTTTGTGGATCAAAATTGAAAATGTTTCATTGGTAGATTATTAACTCAAGCTAATAAAGACCAGTTACTACTAAGCTTTTGTTACTTTCTTTGTTGTCTTTTTAACGTATGCAAATTAGGACCTGCTTGACAAACAATAGAATCTGTGTATCTATAATACACTGTGATTTTGATGGTTATTTTTATAGAAAAAAGTGTGTATTATACACAGGTAAATACGGTACAGTTGAACCCTGCTATCTCGAACTCAAACCCATTTCCCTTGGATTTGCCCTGCTTTTCTCAGTCATATTCTATTGGCTATCTCAAACTCAGCTATCTCAAACTCCCTATCTCAAACAAAGAGCAGCATCCCTTGTTCCTGTTTCACAGACAAATTTACCCCACTATCTCAAACTCCCAGCTGTATGTCTTGAGCAAATTGTTGCTTCCCTCAAGAGTTCAAGACTAGCTGGGTTCTGCACTGTACAGTTGCTAGTTTTTGTGTAAACACAGGAAACAAACATTTCCCACTATTTTATACAGTAGAATTGTTTTAGTTAACTATAATGTCTTTTGCACATATTTTTTTAATTATAAGGTAATTTTTATCTTCCTGAAATTTGCACTGTGATCAAGAAACTCCTCTGTTTGTCTGTTTTCTACTGCCAATGTAGACAACAGATACTGATAACAACAGCCATTTCACGCAACACTACATCATTTGTGTGTCTATACCATTCAACATTAAGCTGAGCCATTTCATGCGACGCCACACCATTTGTGTGTACGCTGTACCATTCGAATTTATGCTGTGCCATCTCACGCAATGCTACACTGTTTATGTGTAAGCTGTACCATTCAAAATTACACTGAGCCATTTCACACAACACTACACTGTCTGTGTGTACACTGTGCTACTTGACACTACCCTGAGCCATTTGACGCAAGGCTACACCATTTGTTTACTGTATTGCAAATGAGTGCTGAGTTATTTGCAATTGAGCTAGTCCATTTCACAATTTCAATTTCCAACTCGACATGGGCAACTAGACTGTTTATCATTTGGCTAAACTATTCATGTTTAGGGTGTTCTGTTTCATGAAGGAAAAGTAAACTGTCTATTAACGACAATTTTCGCAAACTAGACAACTAACCAAATAAATTACGCGCAACCAATATATATACCATATGCAAATAAATATGGACAAGTACAAAACTGGTAACTGACAAAGGACACCAATGGAAGACGAGAAAATAAACACTTAACACGAAACTATGAAACACCAACACTAACAAAAAATGATAGTACAAATTCTTGCGCCTACATTCCGGCCCCTTAAATACGAAGATCTAACCAAGTATTTACCAGCAAAAACACTAAAAGGCGCAAACTTTTATAGAGCTAATTGAACTTAGACGATTTTTACTTAACGTTCAGACGCCTAACAGAGTCAACAAAGTACTATAAAGTGTCAATTAAAATTTTCTCCTCAAAGAAAAGTCGCGCAATCTTGGTAATCACACGATAAAGGAAAGTCAATGAATTTTCCCTTCCACTTGTTCAATTGATTCCAGAAGACATAGTTTACTGATAGGGCGCTCCAAAGTTGATGTCTTGGTTTTAACCTTGACACGGCGGACAAATCCATATTTGTCAGGAAAAACCTCTGTAATCCGACCAATTGCCCACGCATTCCTTGGCAAAGTTTCGTCAACCACGATAACAGTGTCCCCCACGGCAAAGTTTTTCTTTGGTCGAAACCATTTCTGACGTGACCGCAGAGGGAGATATCTCTCTTCCAGCGACCCCAGAAAACATCAGCCAAATATTGTACTTGCCGCCATCTTCTCCTGGAGTATGTGTCGCTCTTTAAAAACAAGCCTGGAGGAAGAGGTGTCTCGCTGCGAAGCAGGAGAAGATGGTTCGGTGATAGTGGTTCTAAATCCTTTGGATCGTCAGAAACTGTGGTCAGAGGTCTTCCATTGATAATGCTCTCACATTCACACAACAAGGTCTGAAGACTCTCATCATCGAGACTTTGTTCTTTAACCAGGGCACCCAGAACCTTGCGTGTAGATCTAATTAGCCTCCTCCCAGACACCACCATGATGCGAGGCTCCGGGTGGGTTAAAAACCCATTTGATGCTTTTCAGAGAAGGGCGTCATGAATTTTAGCTTGATTCCAGCTGTCAATCATGACACGAAGTCTTTCACCTCCTACGAAATTTGAACCATTGTCGGAGCGAATTTCTTTAATCCTGACCTCTACGAGCGATAAAACG